TTTCTGTTTTTAGCTTTTGTTCAAAAATCACTTTGCAAGCATCAAGCATAAGTTGTTATTGAACAATTCAAAGTGTAAAATCAGAACCCATTGCCAATGAACCAAGGTTGACGCCTTTTAGGGATAGAGGGAGGGGACCACTTATTAAGGTAAGTAAAAGTGTATAATGGTCATTGTTGTTCAGTTCATAGAATTCATGTATAACCCCTGATCTTATTGTTTTACTTTTTTCTCATTTGGGGTGAGGATGAGCAAAAAAGCCATAAAGTAACACTCACTAGGCAAGTCTATGATTGATGGAAAAAGTGGAAGAAATGACCCCTGGGAAATCAAACCAGGAAATACTCTAAGAAATGCTTTTTCCAATCTGCATGGATGATCAAAAGTATTTGTAAGTGTCGTTCCATAAATAACAATAGGAGAATTAGGTCTACCATACTTTATAAGTACCACATAAAGCAAATTTTGTTAGCCATTGGACTAAACAAAAAAATAAAATAAAATAAAACAATGCTTAGGAGAAACTAGCTGAGAAAAGGAGCTATACATTATCCTCTCCACTTTTAGCCCAGCATAGCTACACCAAATAGTCCAAATATATGAGACATAAAATGTTGCAAAGTGTCCATTCATGACATGGATTTGCATGCTGGCAAAGTGTAAAGTCCCACAGATTTTAAACCTTAATCTCAATTAAATACGGACTGAAATACGTGATTAAAGTTCAATATACGGGTTAATGAGGTCATATGACAAAGTGAGATGATAGAGGCATAAATGTAAGTGTTTGGGATGCATTGGCAAAGCATTGGACTGGTAGAAGGTCAAAAGATAGCAAAAATTGAAGTTAGGAAATCAAGTAGGGTACTCTTATATATTAAACATTTTTCTTCATATTGCGCCTTTTTCCGGTGAAGCCCACACTTTTAAGTGTGCTTTGTGCTTTAAGCCCCAACAGCGCTTTATCCCTTTCTTGCGCTTTTCGCTTTTCATTTCATTCTATTATCATATAGGCTCCATAGACCTACTATGGGTTTTTGGATATGTCATGGGTACTAATTATGTCATTCATGGATGAAACATTCTTTCTTCATAAGTTGAGGCCGATGAGCTAATATTAATCTATGTGCATAATGGTATTACATTTGGCATGTTGCATCATTAATCATAAATGGAACATATGGGATAGATGGTTGACTCGATGGGAGGTAAAGGCATAGGGTGCTAGTTACGCGCTTAGCCAATTTGGGGGCACATGAGAGTACAAACTTTCAAGCAAAACTCTTGCAATCATGGAGCATCCATGATGACAAATAAAAAATGGCAGAATTCGGTTAACTGTATAATTCTACAAATAAGAGAAAGTACAGACACCAAATTTTAGGTTGCATATGGGAGTAATACTCAAGTCCAACATGACAATAGTCAGATGCCTGGACATGTAATTGAGACTTCCTATACTATTATATTTTTCTCAAAATTTAGAAAATTCTTTCTAAATTCAGGAACTCGTATCATTCTTTTGGATACTAGGCACTACTTCTGAACTACCTCTTCTTTCTTTTGGGCACAAACGCGAACTTCAAAAAAAGAAAATTTGACACTTTTTAGAATATACAAATATTTCAATCCCTTTTATAAAACCAAGTTACATATCAGAAAAGAAGAGAAGACTTCTGCACTAGATTTAGACATTAAGTCGTATTAATAACGTTTTCGAGAGCACTTTTAAGTATATGAGATACTTCCTATACTTTGTTCAGTTTTTCATGACCTGCATATGTTGTTTGTGACGTCAGGACCTACGAATTCGATGGAGCTCTCCTTCATATGTTGTGCTCACAGTTCTTAATGTTCTTTGATAGATTAAATTCATAAATTATCCCGTGTCTTATTCTTCTTGCGCCCCCCTTATTTCCAAAGTTTTTCTGTCTTCTTTTCTGCATCCAACACAAAAATAATGGTCTTGATCGTGTTAGTATCTGATCCTCCTCCATAATAGGCCAAGGGGCAAGCGACCCAGTGCTCAAAATTTAAGAAACTCAGGAAGTTTAGAAGTCTTTGGTTTTGTGGCTGCAACACCAACTCTTGAAGGATGATACTACAATTTAGGAGGCGAAATGGAACTTTTCACTTTTCAGTGCCTTAATGAGCATTGCCATCACAATTATAAATAAAGTGCCCTCTACATGCATTTGAAAGAACAAGCAACAAATTCTACTCTCTGATAATAATAAATGCTACACTCCGCGTAAAACCATGCAGCAACCAATCTGATCCATATTATTTAAATGACATCTTGGTTTCATGTATTGCAATAAAGGAAATTTATTTCAGCAGAATTTTCGAAAAAAAGAAACAAATAAAAAGAAGCTGAAAAAATAAGGATATTGGACCAAATTAGTTTCTCAACATTTCAAAAACAAGGTTTGAGTAGCCAATTATAGAATACAAGAACAAAGAACAAGAAAAAAAAAGGAGTAACATAATCAATCCATTCATAGGCATAATTCTACAAAATTTCCATTTTTTATCTAATAAAATGAGATAACAACCAGACTTACTTCTCCCCATTCCATGCAATTAGCTTCAGCAATAACGGGAAAAACTGCAATGTCATGAGAGATCAGATTTCTAAGAGCATATAAACACCCAAATAAATTAATGGCTAGTGTATTCCATTCTTACAGAAGAGTGTGTATATGCATACAAGGTTCACATTATGCTTGATTTCAAATGATTATAGAGATCAATCAACAATGTCTCAGTCCCAAATTAGTTTGGAGCCAGCTATATGTATCCTTTGTATCTGTGGCGCTCTACTTAGGTCATAATTATTCAAATGACCATAGAGAGGTAAATCCAAAATCCGTTCACCTATAGTACTATGCCAAATGCATTGTAACTGTCACACTGCCATAAGAAGATTATATAAGGAAAGGATGTCCAACATCACTACTGTGGTTCAAATTTAAAGCCCTTCTATTCGAGGAGAATGTTATGATGCTATTTTTTTTTCTTCTTTCTTTTTTGGTTTCCTGGAAAGGGAAGAATCAAAAACATTTCATAGGTACCAAAACGTTTTATGGAAACATCTTTTTGTAAGTAGATTATATGGGAAGATCTTGTCTACAATTGGAAATAATTTGGACTACACTAGCACGACCAAGAGAATAATCAATGCTAGGTTAACTCAAGATGAAGCAGAAGGCTAGTGCATATTAGACAGATAGGGGTGTACAGTAAAGGCCAGCATGATATGCAGGACTCCTATGAATTTGCATGTTTAGCAAAATTATAGCATATATCATATCTAATAGACTATTCAATAGTGTTAGCTGATTCAACCTGTTATCAGGCTACATCAATATGACCATACATCCAGGATCAATCAATGTGTAAAAGCTACAGATGTTCTCTACTAATATGTATAACTGTTACATCTGTTACTAATTAGAGAATTTTAAAAGGAGAAGGCGAGAGAATATTCACTTCACCTGCACTGTGTCAAGAAAAAAGAAATTATAGTACAACATGAAGGTATCAAATTCACACTCTTTAAAAGATGCTATTCTACTCTGTTACAATTGATGACTTGAGCATTACACTCCCACAAATTAGAATTAATTTCAGCAACTAAAGCTGAATATGTACCTGGGGAAGTAAAGTAGGGAACGAACTTGAAATTTTTTTCTTGTTTGCATTCAGAAAGCCAAGGGTTGCTTCTGCAACAATAGGGTCTGCAAACTCACTGCAGTAAGCATTAGGGATTGCTTAACAAATCCAAGTAGAGTGATTTATTACTTATGTCTTGTAAAATAGAAATATATCATTCTAGTAAATCAAGAAATGTAAAAATGGAAGCTACACTACTTGAAGCTGATAGCATGAGGTGAACAAATTACAAGGGGAATTTCTAATAGCATACTAATCAACTGAACCACATTCAATTAGGAAGGTGATGAACAACGAATGTATACTATTTGCCGTGCTTTCGCGGTCAGATCGTCTTACATCATATTACCACAATTATGAAAGGCTAGGCGCAAGTGAAAATCTTCAAACTTCTAACAAAGGAAAGGAATGATTCCTTACCGGCTCAAGCATGACTTAAAAAGAGTCCGTAAACTAGGATCAGCGTCATGCAGGACCACATCTCCGAAGTCAAGAAAAAACTGGAGTATAGCCTATATAACGAAAAAAGACATCTTTAGCATTAGCATATACCTTGTCCCAGAAAAAAAAACACAATAATAGAAATAAATGCTTACTTTTGAAAAATACAGCCATAAAGTGGCCCGAATTTAATCATCGATCAGAATGCCAGGTAAAATTTCTATTATGAAATTAGAATACCATGGATATTAAAGCAATCAGCATGAAACACTTCACATCAAAAAAGGTTCACAACAGCAGTTCAAAACTTCACTTTCACATATTAATGCACCATTTTTGTCCAACCAAAGGGTATATGTCCAAGTGCGCAAACATAAGTATAATGGGAATACAAGTACATATGAGTGCTTGTCAAGTGTAGGTAGACATATTCGTCTTATTTTCTTATTGGTCCATTCCAAAAATATTGTGTAAAATTCTATATTTTGATAAAATTAATTTTAAACTTCCTATTTTATCCTTAAGAGAAGCTTCTCATGCCACACACAATGTTATGGGAAGTTCAAACTACAAGTATCAAAAGTCTTCTAGCCAGCCAGAAGTGTTAAAAGTCCTCATTTTTTCTTAAATTTCGTATCTACTTAAACTATACCGAACAAATTTGAACTGAGGGAGTATCTGAAAAGACTGCCCATTTTCCTCCGAGGTTGCTCGTGACACAGTTATCCGATTAGATAATATTAGAATAGTCCTTTTTAATCTCCCTCGTTGTCCTGCTATTATAAGCTACACCGAAATTAAACTAAATTATTTGATTCAAAACTAGCAGTAAAAATGGAGAAATTTTACCTTCTTCCTACAGAGACAAGTATCTGATAATCGATATATTTAAAAAAAAAAAACTGAAATTTCTAACAATTTCAAGTATTAATGTGCAAAGTGCAGTTAGAAATTCACTTCAAATAGACGCAGCATAAAAGTGAAAGCAGGGGGGAAAGAGTACCAATAGAAGAAGGCCATTGGAGGTTTGAGACTGCGAAATCGAAGCAACACATCGCTGAAATATCCTATTTAAATGAGGATAAACCCTAGCGATCAAATCTTCGGATTTCTCACTTATGCATAAATCGCAAAGACTTTTGACCTGAAAATGACAACACAATCAATAAAATCAACTACTACACCTCAATTACAAATGAGTTAATTTTGTATCAATTGAACAATGCGTGCAACTCTGTGTATGTGTGTGTGTGTGTGGAAAAAGCGAAAAAAACTGACGGAATTGAGGAGAGAAGGATCGGAGGCGGGGTCGTTAGCGAAATTGGAGTCCCTGGCACTGTGGGATAAGGATCTTAAATGGAAATCAAACTCCTTGTATTTGTCTCCACCGGCCATTTTTTTTGAAGTTGCATCAATGGCTGAATTGCTGCTACTGCTACTGTTATTATGTTGCAGATTTACGGCTTTGTCGTCCACCTCTTCTTGTTCGTTCTTCTTCTACCTGGTTTTTTCTTCTTTTTTTAAAAAAAAAATGTTTTTATTATTGATAATTAGGAAATTGTCAACAATAAACAAAATGAAAAACATAGAAGAACAAGATGAAAACAAATTAAAATAATTTATATGAAAGTGATATCTTGTAAAAACCGATATTAAAGTAATTAAATGGCAGGTTGACTTATAATAGCCTCGACCTTTTTTTTTAATCATCACGTATTCCATTCTTACTCGTATAACTAATCTGGATTTATTGCAAGTTAGGTAAACGTTGCCTATTAAGAAATTTTTTATTTTAAAATTCGAAATTAGGACCTCTAGTTCTTCATTTTGAGGACTCAACCCCGAAACTTTTAGGACCCGTTTAGTCATAGATTTTGCCAAAATAAATTTGGATTTTATTTGGCAAACACATGTTTGGTCATAGATTTTGCTTACATTTTGGCAAAATCCTAAATCCCAAATCCCAAAACCAGCCAAAATATCACTATTACATTTTTTAAAAATTGCCTCAATCTTTTGTATTTTATAAAAGAGTCCACCATTTATTATTTTATAACAATGTTGCTTCGTCTTCTCGGTTACCTGATAGTGTATCGTGTAGTTCATTATAAAAATGATAATTTTGTATCAAATTTATTTATGTTCAAAATTGTAGTTTGCGATAATATAATGAATGTTATTGATAACGGTATTGTTGGGTATTTGTGATAATTTTTAGAACTTGTGGGTATAAGTCATATTTTATGTTTCCCAAAAATAAATTTGGGAAATATGTTTTGAAAACTGATGTCCAAACACATTTTCATCTTCAAACCAAACTTCACCAAAATCAGATTTTTCAGAACAAATTTGGAAATTTATGGTCCAACGGTAGCTTAATTTAGTGTGAATGATCTCACGGCTCCCGATTTGAATTTTTGTATTTGTGTCTAGACAACTCACATTTCATTTCTTCTTTTAGTTTATGCTACATCAGCCCCATAGAATTTGGTAGATATGAGGAAGCTAGAACTTCTATATACTTTTTAGTTTATGCTACATCAGCCCCATAGAATTTGGTAGATATGAGGAAGCTAGAACTTCTATATACTTTTTAGTTTATGCTACATCAGCCCCATAGAATTTGGTAGATATGAGGAAGCTAGAACCTCTATATACAACAACAATAACAAATCGGTGTATTTCTATAAATGGGGTGTGAGGAGGGTAGTGCGTACGCAGACCTTAACCCTACCTTATAAAGTTTCCGATAGACCTCGGCTCAAGGAACAGTGGAGACAAAGCAACAAGTAGCAAACAATAGTAACAACAATATATTAAGTTAACGGGTGCGAAAGCTAGACCTTCTATATGAGATAGCTAATCCGACTATTTTAGTACAAAATAATTTCCGGGACTAATTGATACTCATAAGTTCATAACCAAATGTAGGATAAGATAATCGCACATTTTATCCCGAAATTGTTATCCCTTGTCTCCCCAATCACCACCAACCAAACGACACTTAGTGTGTTTCTAATGAGATAAAACAAGCAGCACACCAGCAACTCAAACAAAAACTTTTCAAGAAAAATCTTTATTCATCAGAAGGGCATTTGGCCATACAATAAACCTGTTTAACTCAGTTTTTATTCATCAGAAGGGCATTTGGCCATACAATAAACTTGTGTTTAACTCAGTTTCCTAAAGTACAGCGAGTACAACAAACTTGTTTCACTCAATTTCCTAAAGTACAATAAATCCATAAGGATTCAATTAAACCTTCAAATAATTAATAGCTGTGTGAACATCCTTATCTCCTCTGCCACTGCAGTTGAGCACCACCTTAGTTCCATTGGGTAGAGTTGGACACAACTTCTCCAAGTAAGCCAGTGCATGAGATGTTTCCAGGGCAGGAATAATGCCCTCTAACCGAGATAATCTCTTGAAGGCTGCAAAGAGCATTCGGACAGCAGGAAAAATCAGTGAAACTTAAATGGTACCAGCAGAAGCAATTACAAAAGTTAAAACCAAGCGCAAGCCATTTGTATTCTTTTTGTCTTAGTCCTCAGCTAAACACTAAAAGAGAGTGAGTTCAATGGAACCCAAGCAGAAATCAAGCTCGGAATTAAGAACAAGTAGAAAGTCAACAGTCACCTTCTAAAGCCTCCTCATCTGTAATGCTGTAATACTCTGCTCGTCCTAAATCTTTCAAAAAACTGTGCTCTGGCCCAACTCCAGGGTAATCCAATCTAGTATGCCACAAGGAGGAGAAGAAAAGAAAAGCAAACATGAACCAGTGAGTCGCTGTAAAGATCTACAGGGAAATGACCTGTTCCAACTTTGATTCTAACAAAAATAAACAAATTCATGAACCCAGAAGAAAAAAAGTTATTACCCGGCACTGATAGAATGGGGCTCAACTATCTGCCCATCTTCATCTTGCAGCAGATAGCTCATAGCTCCGTGCAGTACTCCGACCTCTCCCTTAGTCAAAGTTGCAGCATGTTTTCCACTATCTATACCAAATCCGGCAGCCTCTACCCCAATCAACCTAACATCTTTATCATCAACAAACTCATGAAACAGTCCCATAGCATTTGAGCCTCCACCAACACATGCAACAAGCACGTCTGGTTTCCCGCCCCATTTTTCCAATGCTTGCTTCCTTGTTTCTTTACCAATCACCGCATGGAACTCTCTTACCATCATGGGGTACGGATGTGGTCCTGCAACAGATCCAAGTATGTAATGAGTTGTTTCAACATTTGTAACCCAATCCCTTATAGCCTCTGAAGTGGCATCCTTGAGCGTAGCAGTCCCGGAGTGGACTCCTCTAACCTGCATGAAAATTATGGAAAATGAAATCAAGAATAGCTCTTTATGATCAATTAATAAAAAACTGGTTCAAACACTTTGAGAATGCAGTCATTCTTATATCGAATATAGAAGCTATAGTTTGCAATTTGACATGTAGCGAAGAGGAAGAAAAGGAAGCCAAAGGTAACCAGCAACCAAAATACTACTTTTTCATTTTTATTATGTTTCAGATATACTGTGTGGGTACATGCTTTAGATGAGTCCAGTTGTTAGCCCACTTGGGGTGGTCCTTTTTATCAGTAAGTTATATTTTATAAATAGAAGCAGCCAAGCACTAAGCTAATGTTGGACATTACAAAACGAGAGGCCCCTCTATACAATACAAAAGAAGATGCCAGCAAGCCTAAACATCTGTATTTTAGAATCTGAATTGATCTAGTTCTGTCTTCAAAACACCTTAAGTTCCCCTCTTTCCTTTGTATCAAACAGACACATGTTGAGATTGTCCTCCAGCTCTTTTAAGAGATATGTGAAGGTTGCAATTTCCCCACCCAATCCAAATGTTGTCTGATTGACTTTGGCATTATCAAATGCTGTTCAAAAATGCTGCAGAACAGGTACCACACAGCTGTGTTGCCGTAATACAATGCAGGAACAAATGGTTGGTGGTCTCCTCTTCCCTGTTGCACAAAAGCACCTGTTGTACATGGTTATCCCTCTTCTCTGTAAATTATTCTGGGCGAGGCAAGCTTCATGGGCAGCTCCCCACATAAAGCATGCAACTTTATATGGGGCTCTTGATTTCCGTATCATCTTTCAAGGCCACTGGAGGAGTGGGGGCAGCAGTTTGTTCCATTGTTTAGCAACTTGTAACATAACCTGACTGAGAATAAACCCTTTTTTTGCCCCTTCCAGATGAGTGAGTCAGCTTCCTCCAAGATGGTCTTTTAGAAGGTGAAATAAAAAAGACAGTGATGGCTTTCACAGGTGTTGCAACAACACAATTTCCAGGTAAACTTCTTCCTTGCATTTGCGTGTGCATTCATTTCGCTCGTTCATAGATTTTAAAAGTAACTCCCTCTCCCTATCTATATACATATACTCTCATGATATGTTCCACATCATCAGAATTGTATCAGATACTAATTCCTCCCATTTACCGATATTCGGAGCTCAAACTTTTGGTCACTGAAACTATGGACTGCACTTACCACGTCACAACTCCAATTAAGCATCAGATGCAAGAGAAAACTTACTCCTTCCTACCAAAATTAAAATTCTAGTTTGATTTTACACGGTGAGAAGATGCCGGGCCCTTCCATTTCTTATGAAAGAACATTAAAAAAAGTTGTTTTAGAAAAAGGAAAGAACACCCCTTCTAGCCTTTTCTCCCCTTTGTTTCGAGTGTTTGGCAAATGTTTTTATGAGAAAATGAACATTCATTGACGAACATTAAAGAAGAAAGGTTGACATTCAATTTGGTTGTGTGTGGGGGGTGAGGGGTGTATATATGTAGTAAACATGCATTTAAGTGGGCATAGAGAAGTTACCACACAATTTAAACGACAAATTAATGAAAGGAACACAGGTGAATTTCACTGAACAGAAAAGTCAGTAAGTAAATTATTTGCAACTTTCCAATAATCTCGTAGATAAGCTAAGAACACATCACATAACTCATAATCGTCGGAAACAAACCTCAGCTCCAAGCAGCCGCATTCTGAAGACATTTAGTGCTTGTCTCTCCATATCTTGAGCACCCATGTAGATAATACATTCCAAACCAAAGCGAGCACAAACAGTAGCAGTAGCAACACCATGCTGACCGGCGCCTGTCTCAGCAATGATGCGTTTCTTGCCCAAGCGCTTGGCAAGCAAAGCTTGGGCAACAGCATTATTGATTTTGTGGGCACCCGTGTGGTTAAGATCTTCCCTTTTCAGGTAGATCAATGGTCCTTCGCCGTCTGGACGTTTGTAGTGCTCAGTAAGTCTCTCTGCAAAATAAAGAGGGCTCTCTCTGCCTACATAATCTCTCAATATTCCATCTAGCTCTTTCTGCAGACAGCATAAATTAATTAAAAGATTAGACGCTTTACGTAGGACATCATAAGCCTTCACAACAAATAGGATGGGGGGGAAAAGAGGTGTTAACAAAAAGAAAAAGTCATAGCTAAAATTGCTTTTTCAGAAGAAAGACTTGAACTGTGCTGAAAGTCTAACAAAGGTTTCACTCCTGTAATTTGATAAATACTGTATGAAAAGCCTTTCTTGCCACAGCAAAATAACTTCTATTATACTAAGCCGAGCGTCTTCTAGAAACAGCCTCTCTGCAAGGTAGGGATAAGGGTAGGTACACACTATCCTACCCATTGTTGTCAGGGCTACAGAACTTTTCAAGAAAAGGAATTGCATTTGCTAGTTGAATATCGGCCTTACTTGGGTCCAATATATTCAAGAGGTAGAAAGACATAAACTTTACATTACCAACTTACTTCGCTAATCAAGGTTGATGACTCGATTGAACTAGTAGTTTAAGAGGGATATACAGCACGAATTGCGCCACTTATCAATCCCGATACCGAGGGTAAGCCTTGGCCTTGGCGTTCGCACAATTGAAAGCATCCTCTTTGCAAAAAATACATGGGAGATGCTGCTTGTGGTATATGCCTACTCTTCCCTATCCCAAGTTAGTCAAGTAGCCAGGGGCTAAGCATGTGTGACCAAGGGTGGTCAACTGAACACCCTTGGCTGAAAGATTATATTGTATACAGGGTAAAATATTACTTGTTATTGATTAAAATATAGACTATGAACACCCTTGCATAGCCCACTCTTATTGAACTGCAAGTAGAAAAATGTAGAAGATCGAACGATAAAGCACTAATTCCTGAAAATTGTTGTCAGCTATATCGCATTTTCAATTTGTTTAGCATATCCTACGGCACAATGCAGGGTCAAAATATAATAAAAATTACAAAAGCGACCAAACGATATGAAATCAAATCACCAATCAATATTCAATCAGTTCAATACAAAATAATTGTAATTTAAGGAAAACGAATTCAAACCACCAATTTGAAAATTTTATGCAACTGGAATTATATATACAAAATATAAAAAATCAGCGAGAACCTGAAAAGCTTCGTCGGTAGCGAGCGATTTGAAGGCGGTCTCAAGCTCGTCAAGAGCGTGCATTAGGGTTTCAGGTACGTATTTCCCGCCAAATTTACCAAACCGGCCAAACGAATCGGGACGCAGGAGAACCGCTGGTTCAGCAGCCTCTTGAGCCGCCATTGATTCCTGTTTGGTAAGGACACAGGAAATTGAGGAAGGGCAAGATGTAGTTTTGTCGAATTTGAAGGGTATTTGGAATTTAGGGAAGTAAGAGGCGGAGGAGGCGGCGGAGGACGAGAGGCGGCAGCAATGTTTGGAGGATAGAGGTGAAGCTGTTTGAGCAGTGGAGGAGGAGAAGGCCATGTTTGAATGATAAGAATTAGTAATAAAAAGTTGGAATTCTACTTTTTGTCTTTTGAGAGTAACAAGAGGGGACGAATAGTTTAAATAGGGAATATTGTGAAACGTGGCTCGTTTTGCCTTTCACAAAATCCTATTTCTGACCGAACAACAAACACATTCATTATGTATGATACGAGCGCCTCTCGTATAGTCTCAGCCAGTCGGTCCGCCACTTAGATTTAATTAATATTAAGATGCCTCAGATTTAATTATCTATATCTATATTTATCTATATTATTATATATTAGTATTAGCATATAAATACTACGCAAAGTTAAAAATGTGTCCATCGTGAATGAATTATTGTTTACCCTTAAAATCGGATAATAATTAAATTTGTAAGTGTTTTAAGGATATGTGATTTCATTTGGCACAAACTAAGAAATATAAGAATTGAAATTAGAAATTAACTGTAAAATAAAGCAAACCAATGTAACGCGCAACTTTGGCTCTCGAGCTAGGTCGCCCTCGAACCAACTGAGTATATTATTGAGAAGCAAGAACTGAACAACTGAATAAGAGAGCTTAAGAGAGAAAATGTAATATCTTGCTTTGTTATGCGTCAATCCCCATTTATATAGTAGAGGAGTTCTACATATGGTACAATTCTAAATACATAAAGAAATCTTCTGATTGGCTAATCAACCGGTCTTGACTTGATATATGCCGAGATCTCCACCACAATCCTCGCCCGGTCACGGATTCCTCGGCTTTCTGTTATTCGACTTAGTAGGCTTCCTTTGATCTCGCTAGATCCCTATCCTTCTCGGTCTCGACCTTAGCTGGTCTCGATCGATCCCTGAATCACGAGCTAGGCAATATTTATTCACGCAACAATCCAATATAACTTGAGATTGAACCTCGGTCTGCCACCCCAGTCTCGATTAACTATACAAAATCGGATAAGCACGATTTTGACCTTTACAGATAATCCCCTCGGTTTTTGGAGAGTAATGACAAGAAACGATTTGAGCCTTCGATCATGACGTAATCGTCGTGACATAAGCAGTAGGAATGACAGAAACATCTCCTCGGTACAGTTTCCCAGGTATTTAATGCGCGTCAGTCGACGGTCGGCCACTACCAGTTTTGAACCATCATTGTGAAAACGATAAATAGCGCCCTTCTTCATTATTTCAAATTTTACTTTCAAATCTTCTTCATTCCAATCTCCATAGTTCTTTGCTTTCTTCAAAGCTTCCTATCTTCAAATTTTTGAGTTTCTTTGCTTGTTCTTCCTAAAACACCAAATACTTCAATCTTCATTCTTCTTTGCCCACAAAAACTAAATGGCCAAGACATCTAAAATTGTTCCACAGAAAGAGGCTGCTTCCTCATCTCGGCCGGCCGGCGAGAAACCAGTGGTGGAGCCACGCCCTGAAAAACTTATTCTTGGGGGGGTGTCGTAGATTCCGACTTTAGGGTCGAGAAAACCTCATCGGTTCCTGGTATCAAGATATATATGCTCGATACCCAAAATCCTCCTCGACCAGGTGAAGAAAGATTGCAACTGGGGAAACAAAGAGGTTGTTATACCGGCACAAGAAGAAGCGATCACCACCTGGAAGGGTTCCTAAGTGTTTATACTTATCCTTTCACGTTGGGTCCCCTCGATCTGATCATCCTAGACTTCTGCAAAAAATACCAGGTGAACTTCAGGCAAATTCACCCCTATTTCTGGAGGATCATGACACTACTCCGTATCTTCGTGAGCAAAATCGACGAGCTTGCTTTCACCCTTGACCACCTCATCAGATTATATAGCCCTCGACTCTATCGAGATGGGCTCATAAAGCTTCAACGTCGGGCCATTAAGGCTGTCATCTCGAGTATAGATGAAGACAAAGATCGGGGTTGGATGGGCCAGTTCGTTCGGGTGAAGACCACGGACCTAATCCCGGCTGAGAGCATGTCATTTCCTGAGAAGTGGAATATGAAGCGTAAGTATGATTCCGTCTTTAATTTCTGTTCGTTGTTTTTACTTCTTCATCCTTTCTTATTAGTGTTTTTCTCGATGCAGTTGTTGCTTAGATGCCGGGTGTGATTCCCCACCTCAAGAACTAGGTTAGAAGCCTGGTTTTGATGTCAACATACATCGAGCGTGCATGGCATGATTGTCAAAGGGCCGGTGGGAGGCTCGTACTCATTGTAAGCCCTCTTCCTGACTTACCGATTTGCCTATCGTTCAAGCATCTTCTCAAACATGAGTTTACTTACTTTCTCTTTTTGAAGGTCTCGGAAAGGATGCGACTATGAGACCCCTGCCTGGTGATGAAGAAGTTTCACCACCTATTTCGAAACCAGCAAAGGAGAATAAGAGGAAAAGGGCCTCGAACTCCGAGGGTCAAAAACACAAGAAGAGAACAACTTGTAAACCCAAGGGGAACACAAATCCACTGACTATAGAGTCAGTCCAAAGACTAAGGGAAGAAGAAGAAAAAAAAAAGAAGAAGATGATTCCGGGTTGGTGGCCCGTGTGCGAGCTAGCACCGAGATTCGGAGATCTTCATAACTAGTGGGAGTTGATACTGCTCCGTCTAGGATTGATGAGGTCGAGGAGGATACTTCGGCCCAAGTTCCCGAGCCGAGAGAAATCGAAGATATTTTATCTCGGGGCGAAGAGACCATTGAAAAGGCGGTGGATGCCGGTGCAGAAACCGGCTTGAGGCTCCCCAAGACGGAGGCGGCGCCCCAAAAGACCCACTTGGGGTAATAGAAATCGTGGATTCCCCCTCATTTCCTTCATTTTCTGAGTTGATGATACGCGACGCTCAGTCCGTGGAGACGTGTCACGGGGAGGGATCCCACGGAGAGAAAGATCCTTTCCGTGGTTATTTTATTGGGGTAGAAGATGTCACTGATCTGAATGACTTGGAGGCTCCGAAGAAGACTCGGACGAGGCTTCCTCGAGTTTTAAACTGACCAATCGGTTTCCAGCCTCTAGTGCTAATCTCGGGCATAAGCGAACAATCATTATCACGGTCCCGGAGGATGCCCGGGTTCTTGCTGCCCCCGTAGGGGTGGCTAGCTACCTCCGATTTTTTATCACAGAATAAGACCGAGCCCAGATGGATGAGGTGAGAGTGCCTTGTCTTTTCAACAAAGCCCAACAGGCCCTAAACCGGGTAAGTTCATATTTTCTTTGTCAATTTTCATACTTGTACTTTTCTCCCCTTGTATAATTCTTTCTTTCTATTTTTGTAGGCTTCTGTGCTTCATCACGAGACTTTCTTCCGATCCCGAGGGGAGCTGAGCCGGTACGAAGCCGAAAACCGAGGACTTACTGATGAGAGAGATGCCTTCAAGTTTCTCAGTGAGCAGAGAGAAGGGGAAGTAAAAGGACTTCGGGTTGAGCTAGAAGCATATCAGAAAGAACAAGTTGATATGGCCGAGCAGGTAAAAAGAATCTTTGAAGTTAATGATAGTGACTCGGGCGTGGTGGCTAACTGTTCGGTCCCACAGGTCCAGGGAAAGCTCGATGTGATCGTGCGTCTTCGTGAGGAAGTGGACGCAGTGAAAGCGGAGGCTGAGGCGTGGAAGAATAACATGGACTGCCTTGCCTCAGAAAAGAAAGTTACCCGAGCTCAACTGGCCTCGGCTGAGACCCAACTCCAAAGCTTGAAAGAGAAAGCCTTGGTGCAAGCCAATAAAATTGATGAGTTCCAGTCTCGGTTGGATTCAACAACTTTCGATCGAGAGAGGCTGGCCACAGAACTTGCAGCGGCCAAATCGAAGGTCGAAACGCCCATGGCTAATGCTGATGCAATGGTGTCCGTCTACCGGTCCGACGCTGAAGTTGCTCAGGTTCGTGCAAAGGAGGTTGCCGAAGCTGCCCAGGCTCGAGCAAACTAGGTTGCCGAGCACACTAAATGCCAGTCTCGAAGGGAGATGTCACGACCCAAACTGATAGGCCACGACGGGCACCCGGTACCTTACTCAACAGAGTACCAACGTAACGTATCTTTCGTATCATACTATCATAGGTAAATGAGCCGGAGAGGCTGTCGTGAGATAAGTAGAATAAAACATGAGGAAATACTCAATATAGGGTGACCCAACTTGATATACTGACTTATACATATGACGTACTGGCCTATAAGGCCGGCATGATCCTTAATATACTCAAAACATAGGCCGACAAGGCCATGCCAGTATCCGTATACATGACATTTGTCTACAAGCCTCTAAGGGTACATAATTTCATAAAAGTCGGGACATAGCCCCGCCATACTAATCAATACATGTCTAAATCATACTGGCCAAATAGGCAACTCCGGAGCAAGTGGAGTGCACCAACATCTTCCGCTGAGCTTATAGTCTACTAGGAGGACTCTCAACCTGTCTATCGGGATCTGCGGGCATGAAACGCAACGTCCCTAGGCAAAAGGGACGTCAGTACAAATAAAGTACCGAGTATGTAAGGAATGAACATCAGTAAATAAAAGTCATGAGAAAAACATAGAGTAAAGGACTCGACATGTAAGCCTGAATAGCTCTGTGAATTATTTAATATTTACAATGCCATGCATATGCGTATAAATGTCATACCATGCATAGGTATATGCGTTCATAACATCATCAAGCCTCTGAGGGCATCCCATCATATCATCTCGGTCACTGTGGGCAAATCATCAACGTATACCAGCTGATCAGGTGGTGGTGCGTATATAACGTCGTAACCTTTTTTCATATCCCATATACATATAATATACGCGTATATAATGCCATTTGGTCATGGGTCAATGTACATGTATAAATGAATGAAATGCATAAGAAGTACGTTCGTAAGGTCTTCCGGTATGTCATAAAATCAATATGAATTCGATTAATATCATAAAAATAAACATTATCAACTTACGTATTTTCTGAGACCCAAGAACAGATGATAGAATAATAGGATACATGGGGAATCAAGAACATAGGCACTTCTAGTACTTCTATGAATAGAGTCATTTATGAAAGTTGTGCATTTTCTCATTTAGTTTGTATCGTATGGATCATGCCAAAAGGAAAGAAGGGATAGCCTTAACATACCTTAACTTCGTTGAG